TGTATCACACTTAGAGTTAACTAGTATCACACAGTAGTAGTGTATCACTCTCAACACAGAGTTAACTAGTATCATACAGTAGTAGTGTTTCACTCTCAACACAGAGTTAACTAGCATCATAGCAGTAGTGCATCACATAATAATGTATTACTCACCACAAACAGAGTTAACTAGCATCACAGCAGTAGTGCATCACTCACCACAGAGTTAACTAGTATCACAGCAGTACTGCATCACATAATAATGTCTGTGATGCTAGTTAACTCTGTCTGTGGTGAGTAATCAGTAGTACATCACATAATAATGTATTACTCACCACAGAGAGAGTTAACTAGCATCACATAATAATGTATTACTCACCACAGACAGAGTTAAGTAACACCACATCTTTTCCTTTCAAAAAGTTACCGAAGTTTTTTTATGATTGAAAGAAAGAAAACTGAACAAAAAAAGGTACAGACTAGACAAATTTATTCATGATTAGCAAATCACCCAATATTTACAAATACAGCTGTTGTTAAAATCCTAGACAGATGTTTTTTTCACTCGTATCGTAAGTAAAGCTGTACAGTCCTAAAAAAAAACTGTAACCCAAAAAAGTGCATGTTAAGTTAACCACCAACCACTGATAAGCATTTTTGAGTTTTACTAACCTCTTCATTAGCATCGTTGGCCTATTTCTTTCAAAAAGTGAATATTCAAATAAAAATATTTTATATATATATTAAACAATGTTTTAGTTATTACAGTTAGATATGGGACTTGCTGTGTTGTTAGATTTTGATGTTACAAAAAAATATAAACCTAAACTTAAAAAAAACTGAGAGGTGAAGGTTTTTTAAATTACGTTGACACAAGATAAAACATTAAACTAATCTTTTCATCACATCCTCGTCATCATAATATTTTGTATAGTAGTTTATCAATGCAATCCATGTTGTTTCCATGCACAATGATAATTTTACAATACGTTTTTGTTCTATATTTATCACCAGCATGATTTTTAAAATGCTAAATCAGGAAACTGTCACCTCTTATAAAACAAAAATACAAAACACTGGTTAAAAGTCATTCTTAAGGGATTGTTTACTGTAACATATTATACGTGCACACCAAGTTTACCTATAGAATTGGTTTGGTGTGAACTACATTTCTTCCTGGATAACTTCATGAAATGGTATTTATTTTCTGAAAATAATGTAAACATTTAAACCCAAATCTCCTACTGAAATAACAGTATAAGTTATGAAATAACGGTATAAGTCTTATAAAAATAAGACCCAAACTTGTGTTATTTGAATGTTTTTTGGTGGAGGGCAAAGGGGGGAGGCAATTTTTTTGTTCTTATTTTTATGTTAAACCGATAATTTTATTCAACCCTAACATAGATGTTTTTTTTTCCTCATGTGTTATTTGAATGTTTTTGGGGGGGGGAGGGCAAAGGGGGAGGGTTTGTTCTTATTTTTATGTTAAACCCATAATTTTATTCAACCCTAACACTGAGATGTTTTTTTTTTCTCACTTTGGCAGAAAGTGATTTAGAGAAAATATCGGAGTATCATACTTCTCAATTACTTTGTATCTTATTCCATAGTGCTGTCAGGTCCAGTTATCAACTTAGTTTGATAGCATTGAGATTAAGGTCTTGTTTACTTGCTCTTTTAACTTCTCGTTCCTGTTTTCTCCTCTGATGTTCTTGGAGTTTGCGTTCCCGCTCAGCTTGTCGACTTTCCTTCAGCACACTGTCCGATTCCCACACATCTTCCGAAGCCATAACATCTTCCCAACTTTCTATGTCATCTTCTAATTCTCCAAGCTCAGAATTCTAAAAATATTCACAGAAAACAATGTACACTATCTACGTTCTAACAAGTTATGGTCCATATATATATATATATGTACAGAAATTCTTGCAAAAAAGTTACTCAAGGTTAAAAGTCACAATATGACCAAGAAGTGAACCAGATTTCTACAATAAACTCTAGTCCTGAAAGCCACTTTTATTTAAATTCAACATCACACTATGTAACATTAAAGAAATATAAAAATAACAGTTACTTAATTTCATTTCAGGACAATTCATAATAAAATCATTTAAAATGAACAGTAAATAATTTTTGTTGAGTTCTTTGTCCAACAATCTCAAAATGGAAACTTGTAATGTTAACCAAAAAAACAATGAAACTCGATATAGATAAAAATATAATGTAAAGAAGAATAAGGCATAACAAGCACACAAACTTTTTAAAATGTAATTTATGTTTTATTTATTTTATGTTCATACAGCTAGGAAAGAGCATTGAATAACACCACTACCAAGAAACTGACAATTATGAATATGTTAGTAGCAGATCCCATGCATTATAATCTATGGCAAAATTACATAAAAAAATAGTGGATTTACTTATTTTTTATGTTACAAGCAACTTAGTTTGTATTACATATCAGTTGTGTAACAGATGCGACAGTTAACTTCTCTTCTTAATCAACTGTTTAATAAACGAATAACAAAAACGTCCCCACCTTTTTGCTTTTTTTGGCAAACACTTTAGCCAATAAAAATACTCAAATGGTCAACAATTTCAAGCCCACTATTTAAAAATCGTTTCGAACCAGATACTATATGTTTCGTTGTTAGTAATGTCATCCTCGGGATAATAAAATCAAAACAAGATTACAAACAATTAATCATGTGATCCATGTTACTACGTAACTTATATACAGCAAAGCCTAAAGAAGGTCACATCATCTGTATATTTTCTGACCTGCCAACCCATCATCTTTATTTACGATATCATAATTAGTTTTACAGTGTTTAATTATTTCTAGTCATTCTATCATTCAGTTGAGCCACAATCAGTGTTTTCTCAACGAATGGTATAACCAGTATAACTTACGTGTTTGGCCAATGCAGAATTTTCAATCTTATTATTTTTAACATCTATCCTATGGTTATTTATCTTAAATTATAAACTGTTTTTAGTAAATAAGACTTGTAAGATTTAGCCATTTACCCAAATAATTTAGAATACACTATTAACTTTACTTATGAAACTGAAGAAAACAACAGTTTACCATTTCTTGATGTATTACTGAAGAAAAATAAACTTTTAAACCTCTGTCTATCATAAACCTTTTTCTGTTGTCATGCCACCACAACAAGAAAACATGTTGTACAAATTTAACTTTCTATTTGTATGCTTATAGGCCCTTAAATTTATATTACGAACAAGAGGGTTTAAAAAATAAATGGTTATTAATTAAATATATAACACCAGATAGAGGATTTTCACCAAATGATGTTGATCGAACCATAATAAAGCTTAATAAAATTAGAAATAATGACAAAAAAATAAACATTTGATAAAATAACACAAAAATGTTGTTTTAAACATTTGTTACTAGTTTATCATATTAGTTTTTTATTAGATTTAAAAAAGTAAAATCAATGTTTTTTTGCAATTTATAAACCTGTGAATAAAATATTAAATAAATTATAGATATAATAAATGTAACAGAAAAAAAAGAAAGATATTCACAAAATTAAATGAGAATTTAGTTGTATATACATTAGTCAAACGAAACGAAATTTAAAGTTTAGGATAAGTGAACACAAATGAAATGTTAAAAATAATAAAACTAAAAAGTTGGTACTGGTCTAACATGCAAGTCATACCATTCAATGGGAAGAAACTGTTATGTTGACTCAACCAAATTAAACGACAGCTAGAAATATTAGAGAATCTATAGATATAATTCTACACCGTATATGTTATTTTGAATGAGGACGAAGGGTTTATGGATCAGAAAATATACAGATAGGGTTATCTTTTTTTTTTAGTTTCTACTGTATGTAAGTTATGTAGTAATATGGATCACATGCCTAACTGTTCTGGTAGAAATGGCTAGTATCAGTGTTATGGTTTTACACTCCTGAGGATGAAATGATTAACCCTCTTGCTACTTGTAGGTCAAAGTGTGCATGTTATGACCTTTTAGAGTTAGGTTAAAAATTTAATTAAACTACTTTTTTTTTATTATCATTGTATACGAATAAATTTGGCATCAAAATGTAATTAATGAATCAAATTTTAACATTATATAAGTTTTAACTTCCTAATTTTATAAGGAAATATCCAAAAAATCCTCAAGCTTCTCTTTATGAGAATTATGACATTTACTCCCTAGGTCTTCCCTCTTCCCAAATTCACCATCCCTTTGAAAAGTACAGAACTTAACATACTTTACTCATTATAATATAGATATTACTAAGTCAAAGCATAATTCTTATAGCCTTCAATTTTATTTGTTTACAAAGTCATTAACTAGGGAATCAGACCCACTTGCCACATCCTCTCTTTCACAATTGACCAATAAGTTCTCTCTGATGTTTTATATCACATTATTTATAACCAATAGAAAGCCAGGGTTTTATTCTATAAAATAACATATTATATTACATTGTATTCAGTGTAGAGAATTGTCTATTTTGACTTCAGTTTAAAATTGGCTCTCACTGTGTAACAACCTGTTTTACACTAACGTAACCGTGTAACAACCCGCTTTACTCTAACGTAACCGTGTAACAACCCGCTTTACTCTAACGTAACCGTGTAACAACCTGCTTTACTCTAACGTAACCGTGTAACAACCTGCTTTACTCTAACGTAACCGTGTAACAACCTGCTTTACTCTAACGTAACTGTGTAACAACCTGCTTTACTCTAACATAAATGTGTAACAACCTGCTTTACTCTAACGTAACC